TGTTGCTGTTGAGAAGGAATTTTTACAAGAAAATAGATTCTCCTACAGTGTTTGTGACTAAGGTTGATTGTGCTCGTGCAGAGGATAATCGAAGACAAGATCATGAGTAATGAAATGCTCAGACGCTCGGAACAACAACAATTAATGAGTGGTATTCGTAAACAGTTGATGATATCGTTCGAATAATTTTTGATGTAACTAATACACCACATATACGATTTTTCATATTAGCTTACGATAAGCACAAGTCAGCTAATTCAATTTGATTTGTTATAACAGACCATAAAAGTAAATCACGATTTAGATACTTTACAATACCACTTTTGTTTTTTGATTGAAATGTATAACGTTGACAGGCTTTATGAGATGGATGTGCTTGTTGTCGTTGTTGGGGTACTATGAAGACGACACGGTAGCGTTTTCCTTTTCTTGAATAGTATAAAGTGAACTCACATAATCGCCAACGAGAGCCGTCAGTAACTCGTTTAACCCATCTATATCTGTTAGATCAAGTTTTGAATGTTTTATTTTGTCATGAATGTACAAACGTTCAGTATAAAATATACACTACAACCGTGTGCCTGTCTATGTATTACCCATTTCAAAAAGCAGCGTAGTTACTCGTTTTTTGAATAAATTCTGAATGTAAAACGATTTCCATTTTTCTATCGGATGTGTGTTCAGCACCTCAAACATCGAGTGCGAAATACCACATGCCAGTGCTGTATGTTGTTTGACTTGAACAACCTAAAGTGTTCCATACAGACTTGTGCATTGAAATTGTCCGAAATATAGAGTAGATTCTGCTTAAACATGCGGCTAAGCTTGCTATAGCTCAGGTGATGGAGGCGATTTCAAAGATGTGTCTGTCGGATAACAAGAGTCTAAAGAATCCCAGAAACACACTGATCATAGACTATTGCTGTTCACGATTCTCATGTCAATGGCTTTTTTTATCAGTACGATCTCTTAATTGTTGAATGAAAGTTTAAATTATGAGAGAACTGAAAAAAACTCGACCTCTTTTGCGTCGGACGAATCGAGCTGAAATTTTGGGAATTGAACTGTGATAATGTTTTTTTGTTGGTTTTACTGTTAGTTATCGTTGGAGAATGGTCGAAAAAGAACCGAAATATCACACAGTACAATAAATGATTAAGTTAATAATCGTTACATTATCAATTAAATGGCATACAATTTTTTGACACCTGATGGCGCCTATACTGATAATTGAAATGATCAAGAAAAGTGTCTCTTTTTATTTGGGCTGTTACTCAAAAATTTTAAACTGCTATTAATCACATTCTTTCGTTTATTTGCACGATTTAGCCCTCTAGAAATAGATATAGTCGACAAATATAAGAAATGAACAAAAATGATGAATGCTTATTTTAAAAAGATGAAGGACTAACCACTATTCGCATAGTAAAACGAAAAGTAAAGCCACCAAAAATTCATGGCTTTTTAGGTTTGAAAAAATGTGTTCGGCGTGAGGATGAGGTGATCGGAAAATATTGTTGCACACTTTTAGATGTTCCATTATTAACCACTAACACAACATTTAATGTTACACGCACCGTCCGGACAAACACAGCATACTGGACCCCTACGACGTTGAATTACGTATTTTAACAATGATCGAAGTTGTTGTCGATTATTATTATCATTGTAAGATCGTATATCATTCCTTGATGCTAGTGTAGCTGTTGATGACATAACCATTAATAAAAAGAAACACCAACAAAAAAAAACGAATGATGGTTGCATAGTTTTGTATATAACTTAATACCGTAAAACGTTAACGGATCAAAATACTTTTATCAAAAGAAAACCAACACAAATGTGTATGCTTATCTTAGTTGACTTTTGTTTTCTCCCTCCTGTAGTGACTGATGTGATATTACATCGCTATAACAGACGTTATTAGCTCTTAGAAATAATAGTGTTTGTTTTTTGCTTCACATATCAGAGAGCATGCATTTCTGCCTTTCTATTCCATCAGAAAATTTGGTGCTTGCTCCGCGCTGAACCAAATTGGATAAAAATTGGGCACCAGGTGCAAAATTTGTCGGTGAATCCGACAGCGCGTTCCTTATAATTACATCTCCACTTCTTTCTTGGCGTCGACATAATCAACGTGGTTTTTGCCTAAATTTTAGTTTTCTCATTGGTTGAAAAAGAGGCGCCAATGAGAAAACTAAAATTTAGGCAAAAA